ATGTGGGCCTGGAGGTTCTATGCTTGAACATATGGCCTGCTGCCCACAGAACTGGTTTTATATTTGAACTGGTGAGAAGAGCTGTTTAGGTGCTCTTGGGGCCACACCCAGTTTGGAGAGAGGCACAATTCAGGATGTGGGACAAGGACCAGTCCTGAGGAAAACTGTATGGCTGTTCCTGGTAGGTCCACCGGGAATGGGACCACAGCAGGCAAATGCAGAGACAGACTATAACCAAAACTGGTGTGTGTTGGGGGGTGGGGTGCTGGGAAGAATTATTTTCTCATCTTATTTGTACTCACATGACAAAATCCATAATGCTCAATTTCTGAGTTCACCCAAAACAGGAGGATTAGACCAGCCAATAGAGACTCATCTAAGACACAAATACTTCCATTTTTCCCTCTGAATGTCTTGCCTGAACTCATGGTAGAACAACTGTAGCTGTTCCTGGATTGCTTCTCTCACTACTTAAACTTGGAGAATCATGTTAGGCTTTCATGTCTGCCCCAGACCTGACACTCAGATTCCTTTCCTTTCCAGAAGGCCTCTTGGAGTTGCAGCTACAGATTCTTCCATGGGCTACTTCCTCTGGGCTGCCAAGGTCTAGGTCTCTGTAGCAAGGTGGCTGGGGGTTGGGAGAACTCAGAGCCTCACATCCTTCATGGACAGACCAGGCCTTACTTGGCAATTGGAATGGGTTTCTCTGAGATGGTTCTGGGCTTCCAAGTGAGCTTTAGGCCCTGTGGTTCTCCTGATGTAAAATGTCTAATACCAGGCAATGCTTTAGATATTCTAGAGTGTTTTCAGACATGATTCCACTGTGACTATCATTAAAGTGTGCATGGTTCCCTTGGGAGAAACAGTGGCACTCCATCTTTCCAGGTGCATTCCAATAAAAGCATCTGGGAATGGCCAAATAACCTTGGCTGTCCTCTGGCCACCAAACTGGCAACTCTCTGGAAAGGCTGCTAAAGGCAGATGTCCTACCAGGGAAATGGGAACCAGATGTACTTAAGATGTGCTTAATTTCAAAAGAAATTAATGGCAATAAGGCTCTGGGGTAAAAATATCTGTGTGTACTGAGCCTGCTCACTCAGCTTGCTTTCTATCTAAGGATCATTTAGGCTTAATTATAGAGTTCAGGCATTCATTGGGCTTTGATTAATTTTCCTTTCAGCTTGCAAAGTTTGTGAGTGTGGTGGGCCTTTGTGTGTGTGTGTGTGTGTGTGTGTGTGTGTGTGTGTGTGTGTGTTTACATCTTTCTTCACAACTCAGTTGGGAGCTGGCTCTAGCAATGTTTAATTGTGCCCTCAGTTCTAACAAGCATGTTCAATATGCCAAGCAGGGCTTGGAAAGCCATTGTTTCTACTGCTTCCAACTCTTGGGCTGATCCCGCTGTGCAGGTTGAAGGATGGTGGCAGGGCCTTGCTCAGTTGGGACCTCAGTTGCAGTCTGCATACTTCCTCCCTGTTTTTGTATGTGTGGTGTTTAAGGGATTCTGAGACCAGGAGAGCAGATTTGCTATTCCTCTAATTACAAGTCCTGGGCTAAGAGCTGCTGGGTAACAGCCAGCTCCCCATGCTGCAGCTCTTGACAGAGCCAACCTTCCTGCAGATGACAAGGTTCTTTGCATAAGATAACAGTGTTCATACTCTCATTTTTAATGTATGCTTGATACATAGGTAAGGACTAGATGCTGTAGATGAAAGTGACTTGTTTTTTCTTTTTATGTGTGTATATTCTTTAGAGAGAAACAAACTATCAGCAACATAAAGAATAAGAGCAGTGAGGGATCTTGAGCTGAAATCCTAGCTTCTGACACTTTCTGTTTGTGTGCCAATGGATATGTCACTTAACTTCACTGGTCTCAATTTTCTCTCAGTAAAATGTGAATAATAACAAGACAGTATTATACTTTTTCTAAGACTGTTTGGGGAGGAGGAAAATGCCTTGGGAAGCATTTTTGTAAAATATACTATAAATCTTACTTTTACAACTTAGAACTTAATTTGGCCTCTGAGGTCAAGGGCTCAAAAGGAGGCAGAAAAGGGGCTAGCCTTCAAACTTCCAACAAGTTGGTGTCTGGGCCACAGAAATGACCTGAGAACATAATATACATGCAACAGAGAGCCCAGATTAAGGAGTCAACTTCAAAACAGTTTTTCCAGGTAAAAAAGAATCAAGAACATTCATTTTTAACATGTGAAAACAAGAGATTATCTCCTGTTTTTTATTTATTTTTTATTTTTGGGTCCGGTCGTGGGGCCTGAACTCTGGGCCTGGGCGCTGTCCCTCAGTTCTTCAGCTCAAGGCTAGCGCTCTACCACTTGAGCCACAGCACCACTTCAGGCTTTTTTTCTTTTTGCTTATGTGGTGCTGAGGAATCGAACCCAGGGCCTCATGTATGCAAGGCAAGCACTCTACTACTGAGCCACCTTCCCAGCCCTATCTCCTGTTTTTTAAATGGATGGTTCCAATTGTCTTTATGTTTTAGGCTAATTGGCTTGTGGGTGAATGCTTCAGGGATGATGACAATGTTTTGGCTGGAGCCAGGAGAGACTACAGATCTCAAGTAATGTGGCCATATTGCAAGATGGGATTTGGGAGATCCAGGGCCTTCTCTTGGCTTATTGCTGATTAGGTAAGTGCCCCTGAATAGACAACCTAATTTAAATGGATCTTAATTTCCTTTGAGATCTCAAAGGGACCTCACTTTAGGATTTAAGATCATATGTAATTTTCAGGAATTCAAAGCAAAATACATAGAAATTCAAGATGCTGTGCCAACAAGAAACTGTATGTGTGTGGGAGTGTGTGTGCACGTGTGTATGCACACATATACACGTATATGTGTGGAATTCAAATACAGCCCTAAGACTACCCAACTAAAATGTAAGGCACTGTGTGGGTCCCTTTGAAATGATAGTACTTGGTAAGTCAGACTCAATCAGAGGAAGGAGGGCTGAGAGCAGGATGCGGGTAACCCCAACAGAGATTTCAAGGTTAATTCTCTCTTGCAAGAATACCTTCTATTTGGCAATACCCTGACTAAGCTAAAAAGTAATGATCCACAGTTCACAAGGAGTAAAGGGGTCATTTCCTTGTAAAACAACGATAACTTAAAATAATTGGTTATAGGGTAATTGAGTGTTCTTTCTGCCAGGTTGATTTTGAACTAAGAGACCCAACTGTAAGGTTTGCAATAGTACCAAATGACAATAGCCATAATGTACATTTGCATAGTGTTTTTAACTTTTATAAGATCTTTCCATCTATTTTCTCATGTTTTATTACATAATTTCCCAGAAAACTGATTAGAAGTAATTTCCTTCAAGTTCTGAAAAGTGTAATTTTCTTTTTTTAGGAGGAACAGGTCTAAGTAAGTGTGCAGCACCTTGCTTTGTAAGTACAGATACGTCCTTGAAAAAGCTATATTATGTGTAAACATAATTGTGTAAGGCATATATTATTTTAACAGGCTTGGGAAATTTGTAGGCTGACACCTTGCATAGGATTTTGTAATACAAATCCTTTCTCATTGATCTGTTGTTATAAGTTTAGGTTTTTAAATATCAAGTTTTTTAAAAAGTGGAGCAACATGGATTAGATTCCAGGATTGGTATTCATTCTCCAATATGCCATAAAGATGGCATTTAACTTGGTCTGAGGAGAGATTGCTGTTTTGGAGATCTGTACAGAAAATACATCGCTTTGTAACTTCAGCCATGGAGTGCTTGGAAGCTGGCTACCTTTCCCATAAAAAAGGAAGTTCAGGAAGGGACAGAGAAATCCAAGTGTAACAACTGAATTGTATCTAAGTGAAATATCTCCAGATTGTCTGTGAGTCACTGATGTGTCATTAATGTGTTACTGTAAATAACCAGCCATTGATTACTAATCCATAAAAGAGGAGCTGATGGTTGGGGTGTGAGGTTAACAACATCTGATGTTGACCTGAGAACACTCTTACGGAAACAAGTGCCATACCCTGGGACTAGAACTTCAAAGAAATTAGACTGAATTACATTTTAAATAAAAATAAATAAGGCCTCCTGTTTTTTATTATTCCCCATCTCCAAACTCTGGTAGAAGACAGATCTTTAGAACCAACAATAGGACTGTGACATAATTGCTCTGGACTTGAACTCTCACCAACTCTCAAATTAAGCTTGTAATATCTATCATTAAATATACGGTGACATCATGGGAATGTTATAGTGTTTTTCTGGGGAGTTTTTGTAGAATAACTGGCACTCTTGAGAATAAAAGGGAAAAGCTCTTTCTGGAGGGGTTGGGAAGGAGTGATTTAAGCTGGGTGGACTAGAAACTCTTCATTGTAAAAATGGGGAACTCCTTAATATTGGCCTGAAAATCTAGCTTAGCTCCCTATTTTTATTGGTTAGATCTCAGCCATATATAGGCTTGTATATCAGATGTTCATGAGGAAAAATTCTTAAGCCTTAGGAAGTACTTCTTCATAATACTCAACAGTTAAAAGTCAAACCTGTATAAAACAGAGCTAAACTTAACAGAGCTAAACTTAACCTATAGGAATATATGATTCATGTGTGTTGAATGAACAAAGGCTACGCTGTTGGCAAATCTGCTAGTTATTATACCATCCTGGTGTGTGTGTGTGTATGGGTGTGTGTGTGTGTGCCGTGTGCGTGCAGGCATGTGCATGCCCAGGAGTGTGAAATTTATTGTTTCAAATTATTCAATGACAAAAAATAATGAAAATATTGTTTTTATCTGTTGAAATGTTATTCTGAAACCTTACATGATTTTATGGCTTTTAAATCTTATTTGTAAAGTTAGGACTGGTGATGGGAATAGGATAAGAAGCTATAAAAAAAAATCACAATTTGGTCACAAAAAACATTCTGAGAAATCCAAATATCCTAGCTATAGAACACAGGAACTATACCTCCAAATATTGTGACCAAGAGTACACTGAATGAGCAATTGGTTTTTTGTTTGTTTGTTTTTTTTGGGGGGGGGGAAGTGGGTAAATGGAACCAGGAAGTCTCCACCAGTTACATCAGAACCTTGGACAGCTCCCCAAAGGTGTGTTTTGCTTTTGTTTCCTTCCCCTTGCGCCCCGCCCCCCTCCCCTGTTCTCTAAGTGGTCCTTTCATCCCTGTAAGTGTGCTGAAAATCCGATGATGAATCTTTCCTCTCCCCATCACCCATTATCTTTTATCTCTGGGCTTCCATTCTACCCATTTTCCCAGCACCCTCTAATTAGACAAGGGACTGTCTTATGAACACCTGGTATGGATGTTTTCACTCCCACTTCCAATTGGTTGGGAAGCAGCATTTGCCACAGGCACTGTATAGTTTCATTTCCATCCCCTGGTCTCACAGGAAAGAAATGGTCAATAGTTCAAATAAAAGAATTATCCTTGTCAGCTCCAAAATATGGCTACTTGCATGGTCATCACAGCAAGTCTGTCAAATCAGTGATTTCTTTATTCCTAAAAGGAAGGGGCTTTTCCTAAGGATTATGGTTCTACCGCCCAAGGAGCAGCTCTACTTTTCATAAGTAGCTGCAAAGGCTGGCAAACCAAGAGGTCTGCTTTGGCTCAGAAACTCAGTTTGGCTCTTGCCACCCCTGGCACCCTCGCTGCATGTCTCAGTGGCATGTGCTCCACACACAGCTGGCCAGTCTGCTTCTACTTAGGAGGTATCACAACCAGAGGTGGTCCTCGCTTGGGCCTCCACATGAGGACCTGGGCATCGTTGGCATTGGGTTTCACTAGTGCATTAGGGGGAATGGGCTCCATCCGGCTCAGAATCCGAGGCTGCTCCTGCTGAGTCCTGCCCACCAGCCGGGCCCGTTGCCCCAATAACTGAAGAGGGTCCACCTCAATGTCTACTCTCATCCTCCACTTGATGGTCTGTAGAATAATCTTCTCCTTCGTGGTGGTGTTCATGGCTACCAACCAGGTAGTGAAACTTTGGTCCCTCTTGATTCTTGTGAGCAGTGGTACGTTGCTGTCACTCACTGGTACAGCCCATGTCACACTGGGGTAGAAGTTGTCATTCATGCTGACGGAGAACCTGGAGATCTTGTTGGTAGGGCCAACCAGGGTCACAGTTTCAGTGGTGTTTCCATACCAAGGGTAGCTCACCCCATCTGAGTCACTGATGGCTTTTACTCTCCCTTCCCTCAAGTCAGGCAGTTCCCAGCTTGACCTGGCAAAGCAGAAGAGATGCACAAGAAAAGAAGAGGCTGAATGAATTTTTCAAAAGCTGGAGATGTGCCCACCACTTACTAACACAGACAACTTGGGCAAAAGGAGATGTTCAGAAGGGGGAATTCAGGCCAAAAAGTTCTATGCTGTGATGTTTCTGGATTAAATGAGAACAATTCAAACAGAAATAAAAATAAAAAAGCAATGCCAAAACAAGTTAAATAAAACCATAGCTGACCCAGTTGAAAGCAGAATGCTCAGAGCGGCAGTTGTGAGATCAGAATGAGGCATCAGCCAGTTGGGATGATGGTAACCAGAGACGAGAGGCAATCCATTGCAGAAATCACAGTTTGGTAGGGGTGGGGGGAACAGTGGTATGAGTATTTGTATGGTCTGCTTTTTAGGAAGAAGTGGTGGTTGACATGTAATCTACTCGAAGGAGGTACCAGGTGGAAATGAACACAAAAGGAGATGAAAAAACCAAAGGATATATATTAATTTCTTAGAAAATCACAGTAGCAGAATTTCTGCTCAGTAAGTGTTTTATATTCTACTCATCAGTCAATCCAGCACCTAGAAAACATAGACATAGAGAAAGAGCCTAGAAGGGCAGACTTCTAGAAGCTACTTCCTAACCTGTGAACTTTGCACTACAGACCAGCAGATGTGGCCGCTGACACACTGAGCTCCCAGTGGCTTTTAGTCCAGTCTGGAAGCACAGTCGCTTGGTATTCTGGGAGCCTTCCCACTCTTCTTGGATTTCCCCTAACCTTATATAAAAGAAGGAAGGAGGAGGATATATAGTCCACTCTTAGTCCGTGTTTCTTTTCCCCTCATCATGACTGTTGTATAATGATGATGATGATACTTGTGGAGTCCTTACTCTATCCAAAACCATTGTGATAAGTACTTCATTGCCTCCATTCAAGTTTAGAATATAATTGGTTTCTATGTCCACTTAAAGATCTTAAAGTATAAGTCAAGTATCTGACAGACTATAAGAGGTAAAGCTGGGAGTTGGCTACAAATGCTATGCTTCTGACTACTATATCTCACTGCTTCCATGAATCGTTAGATGATATTGGAGGAAGCCAGCATGTAGGAGACTCAGGCTGTTCAGTTAGCTAACAGCAACTAGGGTAGCCACAGGGAGCTGGATTGGAACCGAGTAAGGACATTCTCCATATTTCCAATTCTGGAACCAGAACTGATACATGGTAATAATGTCTACGATTTTAATAATTAAAGAAAGAAATGTGACTGTTTCATTCATCAGCTGAGAGATAGTGCCTATTTGGTATGAATTTTTTTTTCTCCTAGGAAGTGATACAAGATCTTTCAAGGCTTTATCCAAATGGCCAAAAAGGGAGTTACATAGTCAAGGTGATGTTGATAACATATCAGCATCTTTCATCCTTGCTTACCATCCCATGGTAAGCACCAGCCTTTGCTTGTGGCTGTCCTATTGTGGCACTTCCTATTCCAGCCATCTCATTATAAGTGAATGGGGAGCTAGACTGCCTGGGAAGGAAGTGAGTCCACAGCTGCAAGAGCCTTTTCTCTTGTCTTCATACCCTTGATAACTGCTGGAATATAGTAGATGGTGGTTGAAAAAAAAAGCTAAGAAACAGGAATTGGCCTGCTCCAGAGCCAGAGAGCTCATTTTGATGCATATGCTAGTTGGTCGTGCAGCTTCCAGATCATTTTATAGCACTTCTTACTGAACAAAGGGGAGTCCATGTTATTTGAATGGAAATTATCATACAAACATCAGAGATTGTGGAAACCAATTTGCTTAGAGGGTTCACAGAATGGCCACACTGGAGTCATTGAGCCCCAAGCCAAAGGGCTAAGACATTCACCAGTTATCAGACATTTGTTTTCTGTGTTTCCCAAGCCATTTTTAATTTTGGTTAGGGACCAAGCCCTCCCAGCCTTTGTTCTTCTGTGTGACTAGAGGGCAGGCATTCATGGCATCCTTCACACCGTGCCAACTGTGAGGACTGTGCCAACCTAGGGAATATGGTTTTAAGTGGAAGTACTTTTTATTCTATTTATTCTGGCCAATTCGATTACTTTATAGAAAATTTACTGTTCCTACCCAGAGCCATGAGCAGAGACTTGGGTTAGAAGGTCAATAAAATGGTTTGGTTCATGTTTTCTTAAAAACATGGAGATAACAACAACAAAGGTACATGATCATTTCTGTCTCAGGAGAGAAGTTAGAGACCCTTTTCTTTGTGGAGTCTCAGGAATAGACAATCTAAACTTTTATTTTTGGCCAATCATGGGGCTTGAACTTAGGGCCTAAGTACTGTCCCTGAGCTTCTCTTTGCTCAAGGCACTCTACCACTTGAGCCATGGCTCCACTTCTGCCTTTTTTGGTAATTTACAGGAGATGAGAGTCTCATAAATTTTTCCAGCTGGGCTGGCTTTGAACCACAATCTTTAGAGCTCAGCCTCTTGAGTAGCTAGGATTACAGGCATGAGTCATCAGTACTTGGTGTTTTAGTAACCTTCTTAGTTATCATAATGCAACAAAGACTTCTGGTCAAGGAAATTTTAAGCCTAGAGTCCTTGGGCGGTGACACATTGTTTTCTTCTACATTTACTCTCTCTTCTGTGGCTGCTGTTTTAGAATCACTTCACTCCTGAGGCAGATTCTCTTCCACAGCCTGTGGGACTCAAAGTCTATACAGTTAAGGGATGGCCTGATCTACAGTAGTCAAAACTCATTAAGGCTTGATCTACAGTAGTCAAAACTCATTATGACTTGACTTGGGCAGGAGTGGTTTCCTATCAGAGAAGTATGTTTTTAGTTCTTCTGGAAATAGTTGTGTTTATTCCAAGGCAGTGGATTTATTTTCTAAAGAAAAAGAAGAAGTTATGCTCAAGAAAAGGCCTGGCTGGTTTAGGTGGTTGATAAAATGGTTTTGATAGTGGTTTCTTAGAAGTCCTGAAAAGTTCCAAGAATGGTAGAACTGAGAGTCCCCCAATGACCACATGAGAGAACTGCTGTGAATAGGGTGCCAGAGGCACTTCAGATTCCATTTCACCCACACTGAACTTTTATTCCTAACATAAACCAGGACCCTTACTGCTACATTCAATCTTCCAGGCCAGAAATGAGGGCCAACTTTAACTCTTCTCATTCCCTTACTTAGACTTTTACTGGCAACATCACTGCATCCTGTGAATTTTTGTCCCATAAGTAATGCTTGCATTTATCTCCTTTCCTCTATCTAATCCTTACTACCACTTTCATTTAATCTATCCTCAAGTCTCTCTTACCTAGTCTACTGTAATACATAATCAATAATAGATCTCTCTATATCTAACTCTGATTCTTCTTCAGGTCATCCCTTAGGCCGCACAAGTACTGAGAAATGCAATTTTGCTCATGCGCTTTCCATACACAAAATCTTTCTAGGGTTCCTCTACATGGAAATCACTGATATCCCCCATAGACTAAATTCAAGTTCTTTAACAGGACAGACATGGCTTTCCAGGATCTGTCTTTCTCTTCTAGGCATCATGTTGTTTCTCGCTTTGGCACCATTTGCTTCTTATATCGTGTCCTGTGCCTACATAGGTCTTTTCCTAATAAAATTTCACTGTCCTCTGAAAATCATCTCACCAGTCAGCTCCTCCAGGAAGCCTCCTTTCCACTTCTCCATGAATAGGCTCAGATCTACAGAGTTCAGCTTATAACTTTTTGTTTATGTGTCTATTTTCCCCATTAAATTAAGATTTCCTTGAATCTGTGACTTATTTTTTGAATCTTTATTGTCTAGCACATTGCTGGTACACAGTCAAACTTAATAAATATTTAAATATTTCATTCTATATTCCTGGAGTTTGGTAGAGCTTGCATACAACAAAGGCTTTTTTTTAAAAAAAATCACAACTTCACACTTTATGTATTTTCTCACCTTTAAACAACTCTAACCTCTATTATCATTTAAAATCTATTATTAGGATAGCTCTAAGACTTGCAATGAAAGTTATTTTTCCTTAAAGGAGAGGCAAGACATGCTTAAATAAAACTAAATGAAAGAGTATTAATGTACTTCAGTGTTGATTCATAATTATTACATACCAACAAACAACAAGTGGCAGAGACTGCAAGTGATATAGGAATCCCAGTAACTTACACATCCACACTGGCTAGAACAGTGGGAAAGTTTCAGGGAGGAAATGGGTGCTTCTATCATAGGTCAAAGCATAACAATACACATGAAGATGTGATGTCTGGGAAGCAGAGAAGAGGTAGAAAACAGAGAAGGGTTGGGTGGCAAGTACTGGGAAGAGTGACAGTAAACTAGTGAGACTAAACATTCACTTGTGGAGCACCTTGAATTATGGGCTTTAGCACTTGGGCTTCATCTTGGAGGTAGTGGACTGTGCTCAGGAGATGATATCTTAGGAAGAAAAGAGATGTACAAAAGAGAATTCCAGAGCTAGAGGGAGTGAGGATATTCAGGAGCTCTTACAATAATCTTAAATAAGGCTTTCATTTAGGTTAGTGGTGAAGGGGATTTAGGCACCATGTATAAGAGATACGACAATGTTAAATGAGGTAAGCCAAGCTCAGAGAGACAAACAGTGTATGTTTTCTCTCATATGAGGAAGCTAGACCTAAAATACATGGGGACATGTTAAATCATACTGACCTCTAGGCATTCACACACAGTGATATCAAAGGAGGATACTCTTAGGAGAGGAACACAAAGGCACAATGCCTATGTGTGTCTGATGATACAAAATACTATTTATGGAAATGAACTCTAGGAAATGGAAACAAGAGGTTGTTTTCTTCGTTAAAAAAGAGAGAGATACTATAAAGCTAGACTCTCTGATTCAATGGTATCCCATTGAATCCCTGGAGTATGTATGTGTTTATAAGATCATTCACAGAAGTAGCAAGTGTGTGATCTCATGTCTCTGACATTCTGTATGCATCCTTTGACGCACAGCAGTGTTTCAGCTTGCAAACCTCCT